AGGATGATGAGACTTGTCTTGATATGACATGATACTTCCAGTATCCCGCGTCCTATACTACTTGTGTTGCGTTCTAGTCCTACGATACTTATTCAAGGCAGTCTTAGATACTCGTATTGCTGAGCTGTAACGTTCATTCCACCAAGGTACTGTCTTTCTGGGAGAAGAAATGTAATATTTGCCTATGTACTTTTGTGCTGAAGTTATCATACCACGTATAAGTTGTTCATTAGCTAGATTGATATCATTTGAGTAAACTAATTTGCATTTCCGTAAATTTTCCAAAATTATCCCAATCAGCAGTTTTGATTTTCTATTTCGAAATAATCTTTGTCGGACGTAGGAGCATCACTAGCAGTTATAATAGGAAAATGACCACTATCATGCAGGTTATCAAGTACATGCCAACTAAGCTATGACGTTGTTCCTGAGTCAGCATAAGTCAATTCAATTGAAGAGAAAGTGCGGGATGTTATATTAAAGTATGTTTCCTGTCCTGTATTCAAGAGACAAAGGGTATTTTCATTCAACCAGTTTTCAATGATTCTACCTTTCTTCTCAGTAATTTCTGAACCCCATATGTTATTGTGAGCAATAAAGTCACCTAAATGGTGAAGGTAGCTGACTACCTGTTAGTTACATTATAATCAGGGGGGCATGTAAATATTACAAATAGTGATCAATTTTGGACACCATACGTTGGCAGCAATCACTTCAAGATCGGTGTTAATAAATGAATCTTGTGAGAAAATGTCGTCAGATTCAAAGATGTACCAGCACTTGCTCTATCACAAGCTAATCTTATCTGATGACATAGGATTCAAAGAACTTTTTGTATTTTTCTTTAAAATTAGTTACTTGAAGACAAATAATGCCCGGTTTAATATCAGATACTGATTGCTGTATATTTCCAGTATGAGGGTAATCATCACCATCGCAATTCCACTGAAGAATCTTGAAAATGAATAAAAGGGTCAGTGACTTACATCTTGAAACGGTTGAGAGCAATCTGAGAGATGGTCATCATCACTGGGATAAATTGACATATCCGGAGTAAAACTGAAAATGCTACCAACTTCTTGTTCTACACTTAAGTAAAGGTGCAACACCGGTTCTAGGTCATTTTTACATGTAAATCTCCATAAGAAAATCTACGGTCCGTTCTGACAATTTTCGTACCATTTTGGAGTGGGGGTAAAATTTCAATGAATTTTTAGGATTATGCCCCGCCCCTTTCAAGTGCCAATAACTTCTATCGTTCAGGGTTATTGACCGTACCTTGATTTAAAAATCGTACTGATGCAACTTCTTTATCAAAAATCAGTCAGTCACCAGACGGTGAGTGAAATCCTATAGCCATACTCTACAATCACGTATAAACTGTGCTCTTTTTCAGCAGTATTAAAATTCGGTGCCCCTTTTCCCCCAAGCGGCTCCTCGAACCCACATAGCACTTCGTGGTACCCCCATTCAAGGTACCTTCTACTGATGATGACGTAACTAATAATAAAATCCGCCTCGTGCTTTGTCTTGTTGCAGATGTGAGTTGCACGAGGCGGGAGCCAACTTTTAGGTTATGAGTTTTAGGTTATGTAAATGGGACCCGGAGAACAAATCGTTAGAAATTGGGGGGCCCGTAATACGTGTCAGTTCAATAGTTGTATCAGACCAGTCTCTAGAGCTGTAGGGCTGTATACAGACCTGTCTCTAGACCTGTCTAGCTGTATACAGACCTGTCTCTAGACCTGCCTCTAGACCTATAGCTGTATATAGACCTGTCTAGAGACAGGTCTGTATACAAGTCACGAGGTGCTCTGTGTCTTCGATGAGCCGCTTGAAGCCAGGTACGGTCAATGACCCTGAAGCAGCGGCGATCAACCCGCTAGTGAATTCAATGAAAGACACGGGCACTGGAAAGGGGGCGGGGCTTATTCCTGTAAATTTTACCCCCAATCCAAAATGGTACGGAAATTGCCAGAACGGACCTTAGATTTTCTTATGAAGATTTATATATAAAAATGACCGATTTTGCGCCAGAACCGGTGGTGCACCTTTACTCACTTATGAGTTTTGTTTTTATTTTTTTTTCTAAGCTTGGTGAATTTATTTTTGATGGATCTTTCTTGTATAGTAGGATACATTTTGTATATATTTGTAAGTAACAGCTTGACATTAGAAGTGAATTTAAGAGCTTCTATATGAGGATCATTGTTATCATTACTTAGCATTGGTGTTTTCTAGGTTATACAACTGACTGTGTACATTATTCCCATATGACACGAGAGGCTTGATAAGTGATAAGCCTTCTGGGATTATCGCGCTTGGTGGCAATATTGTTCATTTGCTATTAATAATAATAAAAATTAATAAAGTATTAAAGTTTAGTTCGTTGTATAACCTTTTGAATACCGCTCGATGTTTCAAGATGACCTAATACTTTTACCTGACACTCAATGCGCTACCAGCAATACCACTCCTCCTTCGGAGTCGTGGTGTTGCTGCGTAACACGTTTCGTGACAGGTAAAAGTATTATCCGGTAATCCTGAAACCCTCTCATTCGAAAAGCAATAAAGCTTTCAGCAGAGAGGGAATAATCATTGGTAGATGAACTATATGCTTTATATGCTATATGCTTGGAATCAATATTCGTTTTACGCTTTTTCTGAGTATGGCGGCATTACATTATTAAGAGCGAAGTTCTGTTAAACAGCAGTTTAAACATTGGAACTATGATCACTAGGAGGCAAGATGTTAGATATGGGTGAGTTACTAAGCGCGCGGTGGTCCATAATATCTCGTATAGTAACGGAGACCGAAAAAAAAAAATTGAATACAAAACTTGTAGATAAACATGAGTACTACATTCCTAAATTATTTTCCAGTACACAGGGTGGCCCAATAAGTAGTGGTGACAGAAAGTTATGTTTTTTTTAAATGACTTCCTCTGTATATTATGACATTTCTGGCTTCTGCGGAAAATTCTAGACATATTTTGTGTACAATGCCATATACGTATCTTCTTTTTTGCATCTTTGACAGACTGTAAAGCCTGAACGGTTAATTTTACAGCAAAACCGATCATACATTCGTATCTTAGTTTTTCATAAACACACACATTTAACACCAACTTTGAATTTAATTCATTATTAAAAATTCCGCCCAAATTATTAATCTCCAGTTAAATTCAAAGTTGGTGTCAAATGATAGCTTATGAAAATATAGGATAAGAATGTAAAATCGGTTTTGCTGTAAAACCAACCGCTTAGGTTTTACAGTCTGTCAAAGATGCAAAAAAGTCAATTTTAAACTGTCAATATTTTCGAAATATTTAGTTGAAGTTAGGTATATGACATTGTACATGAAATATGTCTGTATAGAATTTCCCACAGAATCCAGAAATGTCATAATATACAGGGAAAGTCATTCAAAAAAACATAACTTTGTATCACCACTACTTATTGGGCCACTCTGTATACTGGAAAATAATTTAGGAATGTAGTAGGTACTCATGTTTATCTACAAGTTTTATATTTAGGTTTTTCTTCGACTTCTATTAATATAGGAGATTTGGACCACCGCGCGCTTAGTAACTCACCCTGTATTTCTTTTTTGCGATATTTCTTTGATTTGGGGCTGATGATCTGCTTTCTTTTGTGAATCAATACTTTATATGTGCAGTTTGTATTGTTGAACTTGAGCATTTATTAGCAATGTGGCCTGTTTGTTTATAAATAAAACATTCCATTTTGTCCGTGGAAAGAAAATTTCTATACTCAATGTCTTCATGACAATTGTGGATGCATGTAATTCAAAATTATCTGAAGTAGGAAAGACATAGGGCTTGTCTGCGAAAGCTAGGAATATGACTATATTAACCTCCGGGTATACCAGCCTTATTAAAATTTACTGGAGAGGCAAGATTTAGATCCAAGTTTTCAAGAATCTCATGCGAAATAACTGGACTGACATTGGAATTTATCACTCGTTTAGTAGGCGAAACCAGTCTTCGAAGCGATAAAATTTTATCCAGCTATCGTGACAGTGGGGTGATAGGAGATGATTAAATCAACCAGTTCAAATTTAAACAGATAAATGCAGATCCTGTTATTCGAAATACGTGATGCAAAGGAAATGTTTTTGGCTGTAACAATGTCACCTATTGCCTTAATATAATCAATCAGATGTTTTTTGCATGCAGGATTATTGCTTGTTCTTTTTTAGGGAAAGTAAACTTGGGGATGGACTTATTTACTAAAGAATAAGTTATTCATTAATTCTTTGAATTTGAATCAGAAGGCTAAACCATGACTTAACTCCTGGAATTCCTAATTATTATAATAATCATAAATGAACTAGAACGGTCGTCTCACTTCGTCACAAATCTATTTGCAATATAGCTGAGCGCGCTTGACCCATAACGGAAGAATTGTTGTTCTGACAACAAAGACTATTACATCCTCCACAAACAAAAGTATGACTCGTAAATAATCCTCAAACGACTTCTGGACTAGTAGTTAGTGTCATCATAAAACGCGAGAGATTGGATCTGGGAATCAAGAGCGCTAATAATATATTGATAAAACTGTTTGTGCCTCAAAACAAAAACAATGCGATGCGGGAGAGGAGTTTTCCGGCAATTAGGCAAGAAAATATCTTAAACCTCGCGTGTCTAGACATATTTAATTCAAAGCAGTTCAATTAATGACCTTATTTTATTTTTTAATGATTCAGCTTTGTTTAGGAACAAGAGAAGCACCAGAATAGAACAAACAAACAAACAAACAAAAACTTTTTTTCCCACAGTGCTCGAATTTATTTTCAAGTAGAGGTAGGTAGGTAAATCTAACCAAATACCGTAGTTTATTTAGCTCTTCAGTAAAACCGTTAAAACTAGAGGTAGATTAAAAGCGGCGCCCTCGACCTCGATAAACTTCCGACCGGACACTAAAATCCACACGCCTTATTTAAACTAATGAAATGTTTATCTTTTATATTACAGACGTACAACATGGACGCTCAAATTGGGGAATCATCGGCCTGCGCCACGGCTCTAATGTGCGGCGTGAAAACTAACTTTGAAACGGTCGGCCTGGACGCCAGGGGCAGATTTGAAAATTGTTTTTCTAGCTTCTCCTCTCGCGTTCCATCGCTAATAGACTGGGCACAAGAATCAGGTAAAGTTCGTTGCTTGTTAATTATTGAGTTTATTAAAAACGAGCCCCGACAACCGGAGGCGTTTTTTGGTTTTTTTTTTTTCGCGTTTTAATGGTAAAAGCGAAAATCAGTTTGATAGGGTTTTAAAAGTTGGCAAAAAAATCTGTGTTTTTCAACTTTTTTGCATTAGTGTTGCGTAATCCATTTTGCCCGAAACAGCATTGGGTTTTTGTTGTTTTTAGTAATAGAGATGATTTTTTTTTTTGGTTGAGCTATCAATTTCAAATTAACTGTGAGACTCTCTTACTATGCTATAGCACAAAATATTTTTTCACTTGGAAATGTTTCAAAAAATGTAATTATTTCTATAAACATATCCAAAATATATATTTATTTTTTTTTCAAAATTTTCAAAACATTTCGTCTGAAATCTGACTGGTGAATCGAAGTTTCAAACCAACTGCTAATAACTACTCATACCATTAGTTTGTATTGATTCTGGTCACAGCCAGATTGATAGACCTACGGCCGAGAAACAAATAAGTCACCTCATCGGGTACAAAAGGTTCGAGTTTCTTGAATGAAAGTACTTTATGTGCATATCTCAAAATCGGCCGTCTGCCGGGGTCCAGCGGTCAACTTCACAAATGACAGCTCGTCAAAAAGACGAAAATCTGCGTTTTCTCACCACATTGGTACATGCCTAAAAATTTCAGAATGTGTTAGGGAAAAGCTCCTAGATACCTAATTCGGCCGGCAGACGTCGACTGTTACGTTTGTTGATCGGGAAATAATAATCACGCCACGAGTCAATTTAGCACCGACCTTTATTAATTATAAAAAATACAGCGATTCATAGCGAGGGTAGGTAGGTATGTGTGCAGGGAGGTTTTTCTAAGCCGTGAGCTACGGCATCGAGGCGGGTCGCAGACTGAGACTTGATCGCTGCCGAACCTCGTAGCCCAGGTCTCGCTTGTGCGCTCTGGGTAGTTCGGCCGTTTTCGTCCTGTAGTCTGTGGTTCTGCACCAACTGGTTCTGGGTTGGTTCCGAACCCAACAAACCCCTCCTTGAATGGAAACCTCCCCATAAACAAAAAAAATGTGGTGGCAAAGAAAGAATTACATTTTCCCACGACCCTGCGCTACTATATAAAAAAAAAAAATTACCTTAACCTAATTACAATTTTATCTTAAAATTAAGCTTAGCTTTTGCTGTTGTCAATCTTATCTAAATATCACAGTTATTTCATTGATTGTCAATAATAAAGAGAAAAAAAAAAAAAGTTGCTACTTAAATATTGGTTAGGTACGGAGCTTTTTACAACATAAATGAATGTACATTACATAATACGTCGTCACATTTAAAATCACTAACAAACATGCAATCTTAATCAAATGTCTACCAAAAACAAACGAAATGCCTGCAGCACCAAAAGGGAGCTTCCAGAGAAACTGGCAGTGAAATAGGTGAAAAACCAAAGAAGAAAGAAAAAAAAAATCATTGAGCCTATACTTTGTCTATATCTTTACCGGTCAAATAATTTTTAAAGTGTTCTGGGGCCCTAGAGTGACGTTTTGGCCTTCCGATTAGTGTGTGTGAACTTGTTTGATCGGTGATGCTTGATCTGTCAGGTGATATAGTTCTTGGTATGCATTTATTGGTTGGTTCTCGCCCTTTGGTGGTGCTGGCAGCGGCCATTTGGCTTTGAGGGTGTCTTATCTGACTTGGACCTGAAAAATTAGTGTATGAGTGTTCTACTAATGGCAGTTTGTCGGGTTTCGCGGGGGAACATGCTGATTTGGGGAGAAAAATAGGGGAATGTGAAGGTGAAAAATAATCATTTTTGTCGTAGTTTGAGTTTTCTTGGCGAATAATTGCCTCGATTTCAGTGTTTATGCTGTTGGAAATTGCAATATTGCTGTTTTGAGGATCGGATGGGAGCAGATTCTCGGATAACTCTGGTTGTCGATCCTCTGTCGCGCTCAAATCAGTCTTATTATTAGGCAGCGAAATGTAGGTATAATCCTCGTCCGACCCAGAGCTCTGCAATTTGATCAGGTCGCCCTTATTTTTGTACATTTGATTTGTGTGACGTTTCCATGTTTGACCTGTTGATGTTTCACACAAATATGTATTTTTACCTATCCTTCTTTTGGTTTCATCATATAGCCAAATTATGTCTAACCTTCCAAAATCTAGAGTAACCCCGTGCCGTGCATTCTCAAGAACAGCAGTCGATTATGGAGGCCCATTCTTCATTAAATCTTCTACTTTAAGAAATGCTAAAATCGAAAAGGCATATATAGCTGTCTTTGTGTGTATGGTGACCAAAGCAGTGCATCTTGAATTAGTCTCAAGTCTCTCATCACAAGCCTTTCTGGCATGCCTAAAACGATTCATTGCTAGGAGAGGTTGCCCAACAATGATTTTTAGTGATGATGGAACTAATTTCTTGGGGGCAAGCAATCAGCTCAAGGAATTTTACAACATGTTAATGTCAAGAAAAAACTCAAATGGAAACAAATAATTATCTTTCACAAAATGAAATTCAGTGGCAGTTAATTCCTCCATTATCCCCACATTGGGGTGGACTATGGGAAGCTGCAGTAAAAAGCACCAAATTCCACCTAAAACGCTTAGTTGGAGATCAAAATTTTACCTTTGAGGAATTCACTACCATACTGTCACAAATTGAAGCCATTTTAAACTCCAGACCGTTACAACCACTCTCTTCCGACCCCTTAGATTTGGGCTGTTTGACACCAGGACATTTTTTAATTGGGAGTCCTTTGACCTCTTTTCCAGAAAAAGATGTAACAAATGTCCCATTCAACCGATTAGATCGTTGGCAAAGGTTATGTCAGGTACAACAATATTTCTGGTCTAGGTGGTCGAAGGAATATTTAAACCAATTGCAGAACAGGCCCAAATGGATGAGTCCAGTTCCCAATCTAAAACCAAATGACATTGTCCTCTTAAGGGAAGACAACACTAAACCGTTTGACTGGCCTTTGGCCAGAGTGCTTGAAACTATTCCTGGTACAGATGGGCGTATCAGGCTTGTAAAAATACGAACCAAAAATGGAATATACACCAGAAACGTTACAAAACTTTGTCCCTTACCAACTTATGAGTAGCTATTAGTTTTTATTTTTTATTTTGTTTCGTTTCTTCTTTCTTTTTTCTTTGTGTTTATGAGTTTATTTGTTTTTATTTTTTTTTGTTTGTTTGAAAGCAGAGCTTTCAACCGGGGGAGTATATTTAAAATCTATTTAAACCAATGAATTATGGCGACATTCGGTAAAGTTAAATTATTGTATCTTCTGTTTCAAGTCAATCCTTTGTAAGTATTCAAAAAAAAAACACAAAATTCCACAGTCTATGTGTCATCGAAAGGATTGCGAGAAAAAAAACCAACCCTTAACTATTTTTTCTTTCTCTAGAGGGGACGCAACGCATTCTTCTGTTGAAGATTTTTGAAGGTCAGTTAGTTTTGAGCTCTTTGTGTGACTGCATATTCACAAGCGCAAAATTTGTCAAAAGATAGAACTCTCTCTCTCTCGCTCTCTCGCTCACGTAGTTTTTACTCGCACTTGGTAACTTAAAGTACTTAAATCAAGTTTTGATAAAAGTTGAAAGCAAGTTTTCACATACGAAAATTTGAACCTTACACTAAGATTATTTGTCTTCAACGAAGAGGGTTTAAGTGGCATAAGTACTCATTGTTTGAGATTACAACTACAAAACTCTTTTAAATTTAAGTTTATAATTGTAACTGTGTGCGGATACTAAAAGTTGTGAAGTTTTGTTGAAGATACCAGACGTCAGGAAAGTGCGCATTAGTTAAATGCACTTCTGCAATTTGTGAAACACAAACAGTGATTCAGTGATGGAAATGGAAAACTACACGTCAGCAATTGACCAGTCAGAAACAACTACTCCGAGGGCAAATACCTCTACCGGCGTTAAACTACACTGATTGGTCTGAGCTTTCGTTGGCAATGGAAATTGTTAGAAAGATTTTTTCAGGTAATGGCCAACGTGAATACAGGGATACTACAGTCCCTGTTTGGGAATCGGCCCACTGAGCAGTGGACTCAAGCTTCCCGTGCCAATCCTTGACACGTTTCGTCCTTGTTAAGATTCATCAGAAGGACATAGGCTGAAGCGCCCTGTCCAAGGAAAATTGAACTTGCCCTCGGAGTAGTTGTTTCTGAGTAGTCAACGAAGTTTGAATTGTCGTCTGTTAAATCGAGAGGCACTACAATATCCGCAACATTTTTGAGTACCAACCTTCAACTTGGAAAATTGCCTTGATAAACATTTTTCATGATCTGGAGATTGACGATTCTTTGAAAAATGTTTTTTCATAACGCTCACATCAGTTGAGTCCAAACAAGTGTTTTTAGCAATTTCACGCTGTGTGTTTACACTGCTTTCCATGAATCTGGCAATATCAATTGCTTCTTAGTTCTTGTAACCCCAAGTTTGCAAACTGTAGTAATTTTTCTTGGATTCTGGAGTCACTTACCCCTAGAACAATCCTGTCTCGAATGAGGACATCTTTCTCTGCAAATTCACACGTAGACGCCAGTTGCTTTAATGAGGTAACAAACTTTTTTAAGTGGCACTAAATTTCTTCAGCACACACTCCGAATTTGTTTTAGACTCATTTTGTTGAAACTCAAATGTATTGTAGATTTGGATTCCTTCATCACCTAAGGAGTGTAACAAGAGAGCTGTTTTATGTTCTTCGGGCTTATTGGCTCTACTATTTACAACATTTTAAGATTATCAAGTCCTATAAGGCCGTCAAAGATGTTATGAAATTTAAATAAATAAAACTTAAAGGGTTTTGTTATCTATATAATTTTTTTTAAATTAAAAGGATTAGATAAAAACGATTTGGATACTAATAAAGCAAAAGTAATGGTCCTAATAAATTGTTTAGGGAGTAAATATTACAAGCTTCTTACATCTCCAGACCTCCCTAACACGAAAACATATGATGAACTTATA